GTAGTGCCTTCTTATTCTGAATCATTTGTGCCAACTCCATCGCCTCTCCCAGATCACGGGGTCTTGCCACCCGTACTGCTGCCCTCAACGCTGGTTTGAGGCCTTTCATGAAATTGCTCTCCAATAATGCCTCTGATAACCTCCATACACATCCTAATAGAAACTCAAATCTTTCTTGATACTCCATCACAGTGCCCTCCTATGTCAAGCAAAGAATTGCTCATAGTAATCCACATCCCGCTGGACTTGAAAGCGCTCCAACAAGCATTCCATGAACTCATCCCGCGAACGGATTGGGTACCTCGCCTCTCGCCATTGGTATCATGCCAGTGCCATTTCTTCCAGACAGAGAGCAACGGCCATCAATCTCTCATCTTCTATCAACTTGTTCACTTTAAAATATCTCTCCGTCATGTATATCCACCCATGTGCGTCATCTCCTTCAAATACCCCTCCCCCCACCCCACCATACCTCCCATGGCGTGAGCAGGGTGGTCCCTCCATGGTTCCTCATCTTTCCTTCGCCGTTCATATCCCCTTCTTCCTCCAAATCCAGCTCGTTTGTCCTCTTCTTCTCATTCCCTCTTTCCTACCTACTCCCTACCCATCCTCCTCGGAATAGGCTCCAAATTGGGTGTTTCCTCCCCTAAAATTTCCACTTCCCTGTCTTCTCTCAGCATGCCATCTTTCTAATTTCTTCTTGCTCCAGGCGGAACCTTTTTAGTATGAAGCTCCAACACCCGCTTCATAATTTCCTCCATGTTCCCAAACCTTCCTTCTATCGTTGAAACACGTTCATTTATTGATCTCATTTCCGCTAGTAGTTGCCTTATTTCCCCTCCAACATTTCTTCCAACGATTCAACTCTTTTTCCGACCATTGGTTCCGGACCAAGGTCTTCCCAACGAAAAATAGCAACTTTGATGCGGTTATGCCCTCCAAACAACAGAAGCCAAAGGATGATAAGGAAGATCACAACATAAATCAACAACAAAAGCTTAGATTTTGGTCCAGGAATATGCTCTGATACCAATTTGATACATCTTGAACCACAAAAATCAACGAACAACAATAAATTTCATCAAAATAATAGAATTTTATTGCTAAGAAATCAAATAACAAGAAGCAAGATACAATTGATCCTCTTTTGAGAGGAGGATATTCTCTCCCAAACCCTAGACGCCGCTAGGATCCCTCACAAAAGAAAACTACAACACTAATAACAAAATTCTGCATAAGAACAAAATAAACCCTATTATGGACTTAAATAGGCTTTCTCCCTCCCTCTTAAATCAACCCCCTTCCTAATATATCTCCCTCATTAATTTAAAAATAATTCAATTAGAAAAGAATCTCATTAGTAAAGGATTTCCTAATTCAGGCCCCTTCCTAATGTATCTCCCTCCTTAATTTGAAAATAATTTAATTAGGAAGGAATCTCATTATAAAAGGTTTTCCTAATTGATTTCCTCTTACTATAATGTATTAATTCACTATTGGGCCCCACCCCTTAACCTCCTTTCCTTGTCCAGCCCTGTTGTATCAAAGACATGAGGGAATCCAGCACGATTCTGGTGAGATCGGTGGCATGGGCGCCGAATCCTCCATTGGAAAGAGCGTCGCAACGAGAAACCCATAGATTGAGACCGGAGCAATCGATATTTTAACTCTTTGTTAAACTTGGGCAGGATGTCGTAAACGTGAAGCAAGCCATAGTCGTAGGGGGCTGTTGTGGCCGAGGTTGGAGCGACAGTGACGATATTGGAAGACCACGGGGCAAATGAGAGCACAGGCCGCAGGGTGAACGGTTGAGCGCATGGCGGGGTCGCAGGAAAGTCGCGATGCTATGTGGGATGGGAATCAGGTCGGTTCTGAGTTGATCTCGAGTTTTCGGATTGATCCGAACCCGGTCCGAATTTGCAATCGAGTCGGAATTTTAAACCCAAACCCAACCCATTTCCCAAATGAGCCAACCCTAACCCAGAATTTAAATCAGGTTTGAGTCGGGTTTTCAGGTCGTGTGAAATATTGACACCCCTACAATCTGTGGGATGCAACCATGGGCTACATTTGGAGATTTCCTCTTCTGACACCAAGATTCGTGGGATTGATTCTATGATGCATGGGATATAATTATTAGAATCAATAAGATTAAATGATTTTTCTTTTCTATTTATTCTCCTAGAGAGTGTGTGTGTGTGTATATATATATATATATATATATATATATATATATATATATAATGATTCAAATAAATAAAATTTGAATTAAATTTCCCCTAAACAATTTCTTCACAACCAATAATGACAAACACTCCAATAAGATCAATAACATATTTTCTCAAAGAAAATGAGACCCCCCTCTTTGTTGCAAGTAAAATGAACCTAAAAAATGTCTTGATCATCCAAGATTTTTGTTAAAAAAAAAAGTGTACAATTGGTTTGTTGCCTCAAAGATGACTTTTTTTCACTCCCAGTAAAAATGATAATATCAACATAAAATTGCATGACTAATAAAGATGGAATGATCCATAGTGCTACTACGTAGGCCAATATCAGCAAGAGCTTCACAAAAGTTTTATGAACAAGCTCAAGGGCTCTGTTTAAGCACAAACATAGGCCAATATCGGCAAGAGCTTAGCAAAAAAATTTCAAACCAAGTACCCGGGCTCTATGTAAGTGCATCTATAACTTCTAAAGTAAAAATATGTAATTCTATCTATAAACAACTAAACCAAATGTTTGCTCCATCTAAATTAACTCATTCAAGCTGACATAAAAGAAGGCAAGGCTCACGTCCATTTTACAACAGCGTTCAAATTTGATTAATAATCATATATAGGAGAATTTTGATCGAGTTAAGTCTAACAACAACAACAATAACATCAAGCATTTATCTCACTATGTGGGGTCGGCTATATGAATCACTTTCCTTCATTGTGTATTGTTAAGAGTCAAATTCTTATTTAAATCTATAAAAAATATCATTTCTAAAACTCTCTGACCAAGCCTTTTTAGGTATACCTCTATCTTTTTTAACATAAGTCAAATCTAATACATCCATTCTCCTAACTAAATCATCCGAAGGCCGATGTTTAATGTGACCAAATCATTTAAGGCAAATACCTCTAATCTTATCTGCCACTGGAGTTATTCCAACCTTTTCATGTATCTACTCGTTTTGCATTATGTCTCTTTAAGAGTGAAACCACTCATCCACCTGGGCATCCTTATCTTTGCAACACTTAATTTGATTGTATGCTTCTCTTTTAATGCCCAACTTTCTGCGTCATAAAGCATGGCAAGTCTCACCACCTTATGATAGAAATTTCCTTAAGTTTGAGACATACTTTTTTGTCACATAACAGGTTCAATGCATTCATCAACTTCAACCATCCAACTTGAATTCAACTAATAATATCCCCATATACTTCACCATCACTTTGAACAATAGACCCGAGATAGCTAAAACCATGGTTTAAAATTGCGCAATATGAGGCTCGCCTTGAGGCCCGCCTTTGCGCAATTCCAGTAAAAAATGCCTCGATGCTTACGCCACAAGTTTTTTTTATGAGGCTTGCGCCTCAACTTGGTTGAGGCCCGCCTCGCCTCACGCTATATATATTAAAACTTACATAAATCTTGAAGTAAATGCCCGACATTGGACTCTATAGGAGAGGAGGAAGGGGAGAGAGCAGTTCATCATAATGATGATTCAAATGAAGAACCCTTAGTGATGACAACGCTGATGACTTATGAGTTCTTATGTGATATGTCATTGCTATTTATTTTTGGAAATTTGAATTATATGTTAATGAAAAGAATACTTGGATTTAGGAAAGATAGAATTTTGAGTTGAACTATATTTCATGTTGTCTTATTATTAGGATATTTTGATTTCACTTAATATCGTATGCTTTTTTATGTTTATTATTATTCACTCATTAGTATATAAAAAATTTATCACTTTATGTTTACGCAATCTTTTGATCTTGAGGCTTACGCCTCAAAACGCCTTGAGGTTTACGCCTAGCCTCACGAATAAAAAACGCCTCAATACCCGAATACGCAATTTTAAACATTGGCTAAAACGTGTACTCTTTTTAATAACATGATCACCCCAAGTCACAAACCATTAAATTCTTAGGTTGACCTTCAGAAATGGGAGAAAATGTATAAAAATCCTAGTTTAAAATTGCATAAATTGAGGCATACCTCAGAGTAAGGCGCATGTAATGCTGCTTGAGGCTTACATGTACAGTGGTACAAAGAGGCATATGCCTCAATTGTTTGAGGCATGCAATGAGGTATGCCTTGAGTTATTTCAGGGAACTAAAAATAAAGGCTAAGATTAATGAGGCAACCTACAAAGGAAATGGGTATGCCAATGAGAACATGATTATTTGTTTTTCAAATGGTTAAACTTAATAGCACCTCTTAATAAGAATCATGATAAAGACAGATGTTGGCACTGAACACGAATAATGAGAGTTTAGTCTATAGCTAATGCTAATGGTAGTACAAAGAACTGGTTCAAATGAATCAAAAATAACTAATCTATATAAAGTGAGCTATGGTAGAAAAGTATTGATGGTACTCAATTTAGGGATAGAGGTGAAAATTTTCTTTTTGTCAATAATAATTCATTTGATACGGTGATCTTTTCATGAAGAAATATAAAGCCTCATTGCCCCCATTAACTAAAATAATCCAATAATGGCATGCAAAGTACACCAGATACAAACAGTGCCTTTATTTTAGTTTTCATTCTTCCACAAAATCCTTAATTTCAACCTTTAAAGTTACATATTTCTCTGTAAGTGCCTATAATGCTTATGTGTATGCCAATCTTTGGCTTGTTACAAATAATTACTTTCAACAAAGTTCCTTTCAAGGGAAAAAAATAGATTACAAACACCAACTAAACACTCATAAAATTAATTGACAACAAAAGACATCAAAAATAAGAGTACATCTCAATCACTAGATCAAAGGCAAACCTTCTTCTCAAAGGCAAGTTTGTTTAGCTCTATCAGAGTCACAGTATTATGGCAGCTCTGACAAAATCCATAAGTTCCTCTTACACAAACATATTTAGTTTCATCAATAACACATTCTTTGCAAAAAGAAGTTGTGCACGTGTAGCACATATAATGAGCAGCTTTTTGGCAGGTACTGCATATGTGCCAACCTGTTATACAAAGACAAAATACATCAATATTCAAGAACAGTAATCAAACAAAAGAGTCACTACAGTTTAAAAGTAAAGAAATAACATTTAAAAAGTGTTCAGTGATCAAACCGACACTTAAACTACTAAGGCTAATCCAGATTACCAACGTCCTAAATTATCATAGCAATCATAAATTAATTAAAGAAGACAAGTGAGGTAATTTTAGAGGCCACAGAATTCGGATATTGCCCTTAGATAGGGAGGAAAGAACTCAATTATCCTACTAAGAGATATCAATAACAGTTAACACAAACAACTTACAACAAAACTTTGACTACAATATCCCAGATTTCTAAAAAGAAAGTTTGATTTATTTCCTATCCCTTCATTTCTCTTGCCCATCTATTCACCTGAAGCAACCATTCACTATTTGAGTTTTAGTAGAATAGCTCATCATCATCACAAAAATTTCACTAAATCTATCTGAACTCCAAATATAACCATAAAACTCATAGAATGTAGACATGGCATCATAAGCTTGATCCTTAGTGTCTTTAGAATCCTCTCTAATTTCCACATTAGTTAACCACCATGTTTCATTAGTCTTAGCATCACATTATAAAAAAGCATTTCAAGCCGGTATTCTTTATTGAAATCAAACAGCATACAAACTAAAACTCTGCATTAATCATCCACGTACATCAGTGAAGCTTTCCAAATCAGAACAACCAAGAATCAAGTGTAGAAAGTTACTAGAATCCCAAGAATAAAAATGTATGCATACAAACTATTTTAACTAATAATATGCACTACCCACTTCCAACTGCATGAAGGTCTATCCAAACCACACATAAAATCGGGAAAGCAATGCGAATGATGAATTAGCAAAGCGAGAAAAGAATAGTGGAATCAGAACAGTACCGCAGTTCCATTTTCCCTTTGAACGGAAGAAAGCATCGTCCCGACTCACACAAGTAGGATGATAAGCTTTGTAACACCCTCTGCAACAAAACCAACGCATCAAAACAAAAATAAAACTAAAAAAATTCCAAACAAGATCCGCCTAACAAAGCCAAGAAACCTCCTGTTACAAGCCACGAGATTCGGATTCCTCGAATCGAAGCAAACGAAGCAGACATCCTCCCGTTCCTTCTTCCTCACCGGCGGCGGCGCCTTCGCCTCAGGATTCTTCCGCGGCCGCCCTCGCTTCCGCTTAACAGGGCCACTATCCACCACTTCCACCATCACCGTGGAGTTTTCCTCCACCGCGACACAGACGGTATTCCCCGTTTCAGTCATGGCGGCCACCACGGTATCATCTACCGCAATCATCGTCTCAGCATCCAAAGCCACACTAGCAGAAACCTCTTCGGTTAAAACCACTTCATCCGCAGGTTCAGAAGCTGGAGCTACATCATCAGAAGAGGAGAGGGGCGGGTTGCCCATATTGGGAGCTCCCTGAAGCGATTCTCCATACTCGGCCTCGTCGAAATGCGAAGAGAGCTCAACCGGAGCCTCCGGCGCCTCGTCCTCGTGGAGGGATGGCATCTCGATGCCGGGCTGGTCGATCAGTTGGTGGAAGTCGGCGGCGTGGAAGTCGAGCTCGGCGTCGTTTTGGTCCATGAAGGAGTACTAGGGTTTCGGAAAAACCCAGGTGCTGTTGGGAGTATTGGAGGCGACGTATAGGTCGGGTGCTCGCGGGCTCGAGCACGAGAGGTGGAAGTGGGAAGAAGACGAGCAGTGAGAATTTTACAATTTTCCGCTGATGTTTTTGTGGGGTTGTTTTTATTTTTCAAGATTTGTTAAAAATGGTAGAACGTACACGGGAGGATGGGGTAAGAGTAGCAGGGTACGGTTGTTGTACGTGCGTCGCCGATAAAAGAAAGTCGGCCCGGCTCGGATTTTTTTTCTTTTTTACATTTAGGTCATTTAAATTAAATTCACATAAATTTAAATTTATTCTTAGTTAATAGTTAATATTTTCAACCAATAAATCAATATGAACTATATTAATTACAATTTTGATATATTATATAAAAAAATGGTCAGAATATTCTCATCTGAATAAGAAAATTTAAAGGTTAACTTTAAATTAATTTTTTTTTAGGATTATATAATGCATATATAATTTATATTTATTCATCTATCTAAAAGTAGATTTAGGTATTTTAAAGTTCATGGTAAAAAATTCAGGCTTTATTTGTAACAGCTTTCTTATTACTTTCTAAAGTAGCTTTTCAGTACAATTTTTTTTTTTAATTTGAATTTTTTATATTAAAAATTTGATTCATAAAATAGTAAGAAAAATATCGCAAACGAAGTCATACTCAAAATATCATAAACCAATTTTTTTTTCATTAAAAATGATTTTATCTTAAATGAATTGATATTAGAATCCATTGGATTCATTCAATGTAATCTCAATATATGATAAAAAATCCATCAATGAAGGAACTCATAATCTAGCTAGTAAAGGTTACCTCCTCAACACATGCCAAAGTCCTTCCTTCACTATAGCCTTGTCAGGATCTCTTAAACGCAACTATTTAAAACCATCCTTCAGGTATTTCTCAGTCAACCATTAATCTTCTAGCATTCTTAATGGACACGAATCAACCTCACCTTATTGACACCCCTCTTAATAACCTAAAAGGTAACTTAAATGCCTTACCCAAGAGAAATGCCTTCCAAGAGATAGGAATCAATTTACTCAATATAATTTTTAGGAGGCTTCGCCCTGAATAAAATAATTCTGTCATATTTATTCCATAATATCATGCATATTTAACAAATCCAATAGAAGAGCTAAGATATATTCTTTATAACCTTTAGATAATAGGTATATACTTTTATCCAAATAATATTATATTTTACATTTAATTAAAAAAATTCCATGGAGGAAAGTAACATATAAGGTCTCCTCTAAACCCCTATAAAAAATGCCCATAAGGAAACCTCAATTGGAAGTGAGTATTGGACATAATCCTCACTAGAAAAAGTCCATGATAATAAGTAGTTCATGGGGTCTACACTCATTAAAAATATCTCAGAAGGTTAAAGCTTACGAATCTATATATTCTCCAAAATCTTCAAATGACATAAAAATCAAAAGCTATAGATTATCCAAAAATGATTCCAATGGTACCAATTCTAATGTCAATGCACAATATCATCAATGTTGACACCCAAAATCAAAATCAAGTTAAAAATCAATAAATAAAAATATGAAAAAATATATGAAACACTATGGAAGGACAAAAATCACTAAATTCTTTTTCCAACGACATCAATTATGCTTGAAAATTAGTTAACCCTTCAAAACAATTTTCTACGATAATAATGCGGTGTAGAAATTGATTCAACAACCACTCAAGGGTTTAAAAAAATAATAATTCGACTCAAATTCCAAATTTTATCTTAAAATATTTATATATCAATGAAAGCTTCTATAATAATTTTAAATTCATTTAGACAAGTATACAAGCCATAGTTTTTTAGGAAGGGAAACTATATGAAAAGGG